GGGAACCGGCTGAGTCACGCAGTCCCTGAGCATCATTCCAGAGGCTCTGCCTTTCTTACAGTCTTGCTCAACCCCCTGCAGTGTTACCTCATGTGGTTTTTCTGCTTTAAAGGGGAAAATGCTTACAGGCCACATATGTTCAGGGGAAGTGGTTCAAGTGGCCTTTAACACCGTTTCCAAATTATTTGAGTGGCTGGAACCCTACTTCATTTTTATTTGACTCCAACAAAGAACCCTTTGAGCTCTCATGGGTAGAGGCAACCACTGCCTCCCAGGGCCCTGGGAGAAGCCTGGTCTGCCTTGGACCCCACTGGGTGGAAGAAGGGACCTGGTGGGGCAGGAGACCTGGGATTGCGTCCCCAGCACGCCTTGCCCCTCCTGAGCTTGTCCCCATCTGTAACATGGGGATAAAAGTGCCTGCCTGTCAAGGTGTCCTGGGGGGCTTCAACACAGGGCTCTCTGCACCTGCCCCTTTCAAAGTCCATAACTTGATTGAGGCGAGGTTTACATTCACCTGTAATTCACCCATTTCCAGTGTAGCTCGGTGATACTTGAGTAAGTTCACCAAGTTGTGTGAACATCAGCACAAACTTGTCTTAGGACAGCTGGTTGCTCCAGTAATGTCCCACCATAGCCCCAGCAACCACCGATCATTTCTTTGCCTTGACGCTGGCCTTTGCTGGACATTGTGTGTAGTGCTAGACCACGACTTGCGTCCTCCGTGCTGGTTCCTGGCGGAATGTTTCTGGCGCTCTCTGTGCATGGGAACTTCATTCCTCTCCAGCACCAAACAGTACCCGCCACGTGATGGACCATGTGTGCTTGTCCGTGCTCCAGCTGCTGGACATCTGGGTGGTGTTCAGGTGCTGGCTCTTGGGCACCATCTCGAAGGACATTTGGTGTACATCTCTGAGTCATAAATGCTTCTGTTTCTCTGAGTGGATGCCTGCTGTAGCCGCCAATCTCACAGGAGCACTTGAGGAAACTGTTGACCTGTTTTCCAAAGTGGCTGGCCTTACCACCTGCCTTCCCTCAGACCATGCGTGGCCTTCCTGCTTCTCTGGTCCTCGGCAGCACTTGTCCTCCGTCTGGCTGTGAAGTGGCGTCTCATCATGGTCTTGATTTGCGTTTCCCTAGTGACTAATGCTAAGCCTCTTCTCCTGAGCTCGCAGCCTTTAGTACACCTCCTTAGGTGGAGTGCTCCTTCAAATCCTTCTCCTATTTTTTGGTTCAGTCAATTATCTTAGGGTGCAGTTGTTCTTTTCATCTTCTGGTATAAGCCCTTATTAAGTAAGTGGTTTATAAATATGTTCTTATTGCTTGCCTCTTGGTCTTCTTAATTTTATCTTTTTCTTTTCCTGTTCTTTTTTGCAGCGCAGGGGATCAGACCCAGGGCCTCACGCATGTAGGCGGTGCTCGACCACCGAGCGATACCCTGAGCCTTTTAAAGGTGTTCTTTGAAGCCGGGTATTTGATACACTTATGAGGTCCACTTTCTAATTTTTTTCTTTTATTTCTTTTATGGACCAATGCTTTTGGTGTCATGTATGGCATCCTTGTAGTTGTAACTCAAGGTCCCAAAGATTTTCTCTGCTTTCTAAAGCTTTTATTCCAAGTCGGGTGCAGTAGCACACATCTGTGATCCCACCAACTTGGGAGACTGAGGCAGGAGGTTCACAAGTTCAGGTTAAATTTATTCCTGTTGAGTGTTGGTTGAATCTGCCTTTTGACCTCTGACAGGAGGAATAAACATGGGGGACTTGTCTTAGGGGTGGGTAAATCTGCTCACATTTCATTTAGGGGTAGGTTGTATCTGACATAATAGTTATTTGATTTTTTTTTTATGAAATAGCAAATTACATATGTGTCTATACCACAAGTGGACAATTTACAGAACAACAACGAGATGAATACCTGTGTTCCTTGCACCAGCTAAAGGAAAAGAAAACCACTAGAACTGTCTCTGTCTGCCGAACCCCCTCCCTCTTCCCTGGGGATCAGCTCTTGAACCTTCTGGCAGTCTCTGTTTTGCTGTATACGTGTATTTAGTTGTAACCGACATGATGTCTGCGCTAGCTGGTTTTGACCTTTATAAAAGTGTGGTCATAGTGAAAGGTGTTTTTCTCCCGCGTGTTCTTTTTCCCATTGTGGTCCCAAGATTCCTCTCTCTTGAAGCCTGGGTTGGTTGCACTTCATTCATCTGCAGGTTTCCCACATGCCGTCAAAAGGCAGTTTCTCTTTCCAGCTGTTGACGCCCTGGGCTGCTCCTGGGTTTTGCTCTTTGGGTGATGTCGTGAAGCACCGCGGGTGTGAGCTTCAGTAGGTACAGCTGCGGCAGATTGGCCGGGTCAGAGGGCGCGTGCGTCAGCCTGACGGACAACACCAGGGTGTTTTCAGAGTGGGGTGCCAGTCACCCAACTTCTGCCATGGCTGTGTTGGCTTCCTATTGCTGATGTAACCAACGGCCACAGACGTTGGTCCTACACTTCTGGAGGTGAGAGTCTGAAGTGGGACTCACCGGGTTAATCCATGTTCCTCGGTGGCTCTGGAGGAGGCTCTGTTCTCTCACTGTTCCCAGTGTTTAGAGGCTGCCCCTTCTTCCTCCTCAAGTCAGCAAGCCTCCAGGGAGACCTTGTTGTGTCACTCAGAGTCAGACCCCTGCCCCACTCTCCACAGAGGCCTTGTGACCAACGTGGACCACGGACCAATCGGGGAAGACCTCTGTGTTTGGGTGCAGCTGATCAGCACCTTAAAACCGTGCTGCGTCGGTTCCCCCTTGGTGTGGTCTGTGCCACACTCCCGGCTCTGGGCAGGGGAGGTGCACGTCTTTGGGGGACGTTGTTCTGCCTGCCACAGTTGGTGCAGGAAGGTCCTCATTACTCCACAGGCAGGGGACTCAGGCATGTTGCAGTTTGTGTGCATGATGCACGATGACGTTTTGGCCAACAGTGGACTTCATGTATGACCTTGGTCTCCTAAGATTCAATGGCCTAGTGACAGCGTAACCAGCTGGTTGGAAAATGTTCGATGTTTGCACAACAGAATCAGCTGATGACACATTTCTCAGAGCAAGTCCCCGTTGTCAGGTGACCCGTGACTGCGTTTGAGGCATTAGGTGGTGACTCGGTGGTCTCTGTTCAGACTTTCTGCCCCCGCTCTCTCTCCTTGGACCTCTGTAGTCTTACTGGTTTCCTGTTGCCTCTGTCTGAGGCACCGTCAGGCTCTGCAGTGAGAATGCCCGGGGTCTTTCGCCATGAGCTGAGTGTGACTTGGGCAGGTTGCTCTTTCCCTGTTGGTGAAGGGGGGTGTGACCTCCATCACCTGGGGTCACTGTGAGGACTAAATGAGATAATGCGTGGGAAGCTCCAGAACAGGGCTGGACGTTGGAAGAGCCAGCGGAAGTGTCTGTTAGCGCACTCCCTCAGCCGTCCATTCATCTAACATCTCTGTGTGCCAGGCCTGGAGCCTGCCCGTTCAGCATTCAGCAACTGAGCCGCGAGCACCGTCTTTGCCATGAAATGAGTGTATCTGTGCTGGGCCCCTGCAGGCCCCATATAGGCTTAGTGTTTGGCCAGCTTTATTTTTATTTACTTACTTTTGGAGGTGAGAGTCTGAAGTGGGTCTCACCGGATTCAACCCGAGGGTGCTTTACCACTGAGCCACCTCCCCACCCCTTTTTTATATTTTATCTGGAGACAGGGTCTCACTGAGTTGCTTAGCGCCTTGCTAGGTTGTGGAGGCTGGCTTTGGACTCGTGATCCTCCTGCCTGAGCCTCCCAAGCCTCTGAGTTTCCAGGCGTGCACTGCCGCACCAGTGGCAAGCTTTATTTTCACTGAGAGCCGGTGCGGTTGGGAACGGGACGTGCAGGGGTCCAGGTCCTCCCAGGGAGGCAGAGCCGGCACCCCTGCTCTTGCTCACTATGTCTTTGTTCCAGGAAGGACCTACTTAGCCATAAGCAGAGAGCTAGGCAGGTTTTCCCTTCTGCCTTCGGGTGATCTCCACGTCGTGCAGGCTGGGGTGTGCCATGTGCAGTAAGGAAGCTGTGTGTCCCCCAGGGTGGTGGGAATGCGCTCAGGAAGCCTTCTGTGGCCCTGGAGGTGTCGGCTTTCGAGTCACCACTGCGTTCTTAACTGGACAGCATAGTTCCAGTTCCCGGCCGAGCTCCCGTCTTCACCCAGTTCTCTGAACAGAGGCTGTGGCAGGTGAAGTCCTCAGGTCGGAAGAGGCCTGTGTGCTGTCAACCTGTCTGTCGGTCACTCTGAGCCGTTTCATTTTTGAGAGCTGAATCCCTGTGTTCAGAAGACTCTGTGTGGCCTGAAACATGAGCACAAGCTTCTTGGGCCTGCAAGGCCCTCGTGCCCGTAGCTGCGTGTGTGTGGCCTGCACAAGCGCTGGCTTCCCCCAGGCCAGGATCCAGAGAGTTTGGGTGGTGGGAATCTTTTAAAATCAAGGTGAAATGTTTTTGGTAGAGATGGACGCAGTACCTTTATTTTACTTATTCATTTTTATGTGGAGCTGAGGATCGAGCCCAGGGCCTCACGTGTGCTAGGCAAGTGCTCCACTGCTGAGCTGCAGCCCAGCCCCAGAAATGTACGTTTTTCAAAGCAATGATCTCAACCCCGATCAGCGGGCAGCTGTGTGCAGCCCGTCTTCCAGGAGGGGGCACGTGGGTGGCTCTAGGAGCCCAGGGGCCCCCTCCCAGGCTGAGGGTGACCGAGTCTCTCCTTGCAGGCCGATGCGTGCCACGCCTACCAGATCATCCACCGCAACGGGATTCCCGACGAGCAAATCATCGTGATGATGTACGACGACATTGCCAACAACGAGGAGTAAGTGGGGAGCACTTGGAATGGGGGGCGCAGGCCAGGGCCTGAGACCAGCACCGCTGTGCTCCAGGGCTCCCAGAGCGCGGGCCGCAGCCGGTCACAACGATGGAAGGCCGAGGGCTCTGTCCAGCTCCCTGCACATCTCGGCCCGGGCAGGGTGGGGAAGTGGAAGGTGGCGGCCCCTGAGAGGGCTAAAGCTAGATTCCCTCTCACCCTGGAGAGCTGCCCCGTGGGGCCCCAGGTCTGCCTGTTCCTGGAAGGCACTGGTCTGGGCATCGGCCCCCCACGGCCTTCTCTGCACCTTTGTGACTCATTGCCCTTAGTTTCCTGAGGGACAAGGACAAGGACAAGCAGGGTGGGCACTGAGCTTGACAGTCCTCCCCTCCCCGGTCACCCTGCAGTGTTCCTGAGGGGTGCTGCCCTCGATGGCCATCACAGGGCTCACCAAGTCACTCTGAGGCTGGTGTCCGAGTCCTCTTTCTGGCCTCTGTCTGAGGGAGCCCTGGTGAGCCGTGGTCCTGAGGTGCTGTGTGGTATCCAGCAGGAGGTGGGCGCTGGCCCTGGCCCAAGGTCTTAGAGCTCTGTCCCCCACTGCTGCTGCCAGGAGCTCCTGGATGGTGCCACCTGAGGTCTCCACCCACCCAAGCCACCTACAGCCTGGGGACCACGCAGGCAGCGAGAGATGTCTCAGACAAACATAGTGGTTTACTGTTTCTTTTCGCAATGGGGTAGACGTTGAAGAGAGATTTCAGAGACAGTCACGTTTTGTTTCTGTCACGTCCTCTGATTGCAGGAACCCCACCCCAGGTATCGTGATCAACAGGCCCAACGGCACGGACGTGTACAAGGGAGTCCCCAAGGACTACACTGGGGAGGTGAGGGCACTCAGGGACTCTGGGTGGGGACGGTGGATTTTGTTTCATTTCCTTGATGATTTTTCATTATTTGTTGTATTTCTAGAATCAGAACCTTGCTAGGCTGATTTCTTGTCCGTGTTTCCTGTTTCTGTTAGGATTCGTGTTTGAGGAGTAAATCATGAGAGAGAGAGAGAGAGATTGCACGTGCACACGTGTGCTGGGTGGACCCAGGGCTTCTCTCATACTAGACAAGTGCTTACCACTGAGCTATTTTATTTTGTTTTTTTTGAGACCGGGTCTCACTGTGTTGCCCAGGCTGACCTTGAACTCCTGGGCTCAGGTGATCCTCCTGCCTCAGTCCCACATGTGGCTCGGGCTTGGGTGTCTGCTCCCACACCTGGCTCAATTATGAGAGTTTTAAAAGAAAACAGAAAAAATGAAAAAAAAGGACAAACGTGTCTAATAAATTGCAATATACCATTATTTGGTTTCAGGTCTGTGCATGCTTTAAGTCTGGTAATACATTTCTTTAGTGATAACCTGATCTTCTTGACTTATTACCGTTCATCTGATCTTGGATTATCTGTGCTCTTTTATGAAAGTCAATGTTCTCAGCCCTGGGCCTAGTGCACGGTATCTCAGGATTTTCCCGAGGGTAGGTTTTTGTTGATATTATACTGCATCACATCTAAACGTTTTTATGTTTCCCCCACTTGATGGAGAGTGTATAAATTGACACGTTTAAAACACCATAGTGACTTCAGTCTGGTTTTTGTCACCTCTTTTAGTATCTTCAGAGTGATCTCTTGGGAGATTTTTCTTTGTGATAAACATTTGTCTCAAGTCTAGTATTTCTTTCAGTTTCACTGTTTATTCTTTTACATTCACATATAATTCAGTTTAATATCACACATATAACAGAGTTGATTCCATTTTGGTGAAACTGTTTCTTTCTACATGGTTATAGAAGGGAACGTTTGGAATCTGGGTGTCAGGATCTGGGGTGATTGTTTCTCCCTGTGTTCTTTTTTGTATTGCATTTAATGATCCAGTATCAGTTTCACAGACCGCCCTCTAAGGACTCTGAGGGTTAGCTCTGACCCTTGCCTGTGTAGCCATGGCTGGGCTCTTGTCCAGCTGTCTGGTCGGGACTGGTAGCTGCATCTGACTGACTCCTGATTCCTCGTAGGACGTCACCCCACAAAACTTCCTGGCTGTGTTGAGAGGTGACGCCGAAGCAGTGAAGGGCAAAGGCTCTGGAAAGGTCCTGAAGAGGTACGTCCGTCTGTGGGCCTCACATCTCTCTCGAGAGCTGGTGCCCAGCACCGGGGCTCAGCCAGGCGCCCCTGTCCCTCTGTGAGAGGCTTCAGAGGGGAGCTTTGTCTTCTCCTAGGACCACGGCTCAGGGGTGACTTTCAGTGGCATCTCTGGATGGCCCATTTCTGTGCTCAGGAACCCTGTGATCCCTGGTCCCTCACTACTCTGGAGAAATGGACCCTGTCACTTAGACCCACTGTTGCATTGTCTGTGGGTTGTGGTGCTGGTCACCCGGGGGAGTCCCTGAAGGCCCCGTGGGTTGCCGGCCTCCAGCCTCCTCTGGCCACAGTCCTCGCATAGGGAGGGCAAACCTGGCATTAGGGAAACCAACTCCAGCACTTGCCCCACTGATGGTGGCTGGAGATGTCTGGTGCCTGGTGTTCCCTGAGCCACAATTTCAAGAGATGTTGGAGACTTTGGCAGCAGATCAGAAGGGAATGGAGGCCTGGGCACAGATAATCCAACCAGAGGCGAGTTGGAGGGGAGGGACCCTGCTGGGGAGTTAGTTGGCTGCGAGTGTGCCTCTGGGTCTCTGCTGCCTGAACATTGCCCTCCCAGCTGGAGCCCTGCCAAGGGTGGGCAGGTGGGTCCGAGGGGACTGGAGAGGAGGCTGCAGGACTCCCAAGGAGCCCACTCTGCAGGTCCCACCTAGTTGTCTGCTCAGCTGCCCAGCAGAGGTCCCTCTGCCTTTCCAGCTGTGATGCAGAGCGTGGCACCAGGACAGGGCCCTGGGAGCAGAGGGGGCGGTCACCCAAGGGCCTCGGCTCCTCCTTGACCCGTTGGGCAGCCCTCATCCTCCAGCTTCTTAGCTTTCTGACTGTTCAGAGAAATGGAATTAAAAATAGAAACAGGAGCCGTCGCCCTTGGGCTCTCACTGGCCACTCTTCCTCGCAGCGGCCCCCAGGACCACGTGTTCATCTACTTCACTGACCACGGAGCTACTGGAATCCTGGTTTTTCCTAACGATGAAGTGAGTTTTTCTTCTCTTTTGATCCTGGGAGGTTTTTCGGTTTTGCTTTCCTTCTGATCACGGTGCTGTCATGGAACCGGGGGCCTCGTGTGTGCTGGGAAGCGCTGTACCTCCGAGCCGCCCTTTCCACCAGCAGTGGTCCTTGACCTTTTAAAGACAAACTTGGAAAATAAAAAAACAAAGCCTGGGCGTCAAGACTCGGCCTGTGGCCTGTTTCCTGAAGCCCTCTCGGGCTGCTGAAGTCCTGTGGCAGCTGGCCTTGGGGACAAGCTTGGCAGCTTGAGGTCTGTCCAGGGATGCTGCTCCCATATGGCTTTGCCTACAGTCCTCTCCCAGCATCAGTGACCGTCTCAGGACGAGAATGTCACACTAGACGTGGAAGAGCAAAGTCCCCGGACAGCCAGGACAAACCCCGAGTGGGGAAGCGTGTCTCTTCCCTGTTTAAACACGTCATGAACACGGCCGAGGTCACCTCGGAGGGTCTGACTGTTCCCTGCGGTTACACGGGATTGGTAAAGTCTCTGTTGGTGGGCTCCCAGCAGGGGCCTCTCTGGTGCCTGCCTGACGTCAGTGTTCTTATCTTGCAGCTTCACGTGAAGGACCTGAACGAGACCATCCATTACATGCACGAACACAGAATGTACCAAAAGGTGACGTCAGCCCCGGGTGGCCTAGGGGGAGGAAGGCAGGGTTAGCAGAGGCCACCGTGGCATGACTGGTCCTATGACTGGGTGGCTGTGTTTCTGGAAGGGGTTTCCTCCTTTGATTGGATGGACCACGGATTGCCCAGGAGGAGCCTCTGGAGCCTAGAGTGGTAGCTCTTCCATCAGAACCGCTAGCGAGCGCCGAGGACCTCGAGCAGGGCCTCACCTCAGTGCGATATGAAGGCTGAGAAGGGTGACTTTCTCAGTTTCTAGGTGCTGCCGCTGCAGGTCTGGGGACCACCTTGAGGATAGCTGTCCCCAGGGTTGAACTGTTGGAGAGGAACATACCACCATCTTATTTCCACCCTGGCCCTCTTGCCTCTCTGGTACCTTTTAGAAACGTGCAGGTGCTGCGATGGGCAAAAGGTGCAGTCCAGGGGGAGAGAGAAAGAATGTCCACGCACTTCTGCCCAACTCAATGCTTTATTCACTCAAATCACTCAGTACAATTTCACTCTGTAGGTTCTTAATCAAGAAAATGACAATCCTTAATGCTAGGCACTGCAGTAGACATAATCAATTCACAACAAACAATTCTGGTTTAGTTCTAAGCACTGCAAACACACTTAATTATGACAGGCTCATGACAGACATTCCTTCTGCGTGCTAAGTTCAAGTGTCAGATCAAAAGTCTCAAGCCTTAGGCCGCAAGTCCAACAGATGCACACTCACTGAGACCGCGGTGATCACAGATCAGGAACCAAGGCAGGCTTCTCCTGGGGTGGAGCTGATGGGTCGTAGGGAGAAGTTTTGGCTCTCACCAGGGTCAAGATGTGGCTGTAGAGTTGCAGAGTGGTGAGGAAGAGGCAGAGGATCAGCAAATGATGAAAAGGGTTGGGATGTCAGCCCAGGTGCTCCTCCTTCTCTTAGTGTGAGGGCATCAGTATCCGCTGGCTGGATGTCTGTTCACTTACACTATTATTTATATTAAATTTGGGGGCTTTTGATCCCCCTTTCAATCCTTATCAGCTGCCACCAGATATCGGAGGACAGCCTGCCAGGGGCTTCACTCTGAGTTTATCAGGGTTGGGGAGATGGCTTATTTGTGCCTGAGGGCCATACCGAGGGCTGCATTAGGTGTGCCTAGAGAGACTGCGGGTTTCAAACTGGAGTTTTAAAAATGGAGTTGCTTATGCTCAGGCCTAAGGCCATCCTCACAGGAGGGCAGGGCTCATGTGGTGGTGACAGAAAGACAGCTTGCCTCATGGTTCTGCTCTTTGAAGCTGCTCCCCGTGTCATGGTGACACTGCTTTCCCTAGCATCACACGGCTCCTCCTCCCCTGCTGTACGTTAACTAGTTGATCATTTCAGTGTATTAGCATTGTGTGCACTGACCCATGTCGGATGGGTTTGTGGGCTCTGCAGCAGTCTCCTATAGCACTCATGTCTCCAAAGGCCAAAGTGAAAGACTCCCGTGAACACATGGTGGTGAGGGTGGGGGCAGCAGAACCCCAGCGGCACTCGTGGGGCTGGGTGGCAAACGTCTTGTCTGCCTGCAGATGGTGTTCTATATCGAAGCCTGTGAGTCCGGCTCCATGATGAACCACCTGCCCAATAACATCAACGGTAGGTGGAGAGCAGGGCTGCTGGGCAGGGCACTCAGCGGGTGGAACTGTGAGCTCTACACAGCAGGGGCCACCAGGGCAGCTGGTGTGCATACGTGGGGACGTCCAGGCCGACAGTTCTCACTTCCTCTTCTCCCTGAGGATTATTAGGGAATCAAGAATCTGCAAGCCTCACAGTGCACTCCCAGGTTCTAGCCAAACTACCTGAGTCCAAAACCAGTGGGCTTTGGATCAGCCATGGGCTGTGGCCTCGTGTGGGTCCTGCTTTCTGATCTCGGGCAGGTGACTTAACGTCTTTGGTCCTCAGGTATCCTCATCTGCAAAGTGGGGATCTAGCTAGGGCGTGTGTTGGGAGAGTCATGCTTTGAATCAGTACCTGTGCTCAGCACTGTTCTGAGCCCATGTGGACAGAGACTAAGTGGCAACTATTGAGGAGGTCTGTCCAGCTGAGTGCCTCCTTTTCTTTTTAAATTCGATTTAAATTAATTATTTTTCCTTTGCTCGTGATGGGATCCAGGCCTTGCACATGCTAGACAAATGCTCTACCACTGAGCTACCCCTCAGGCCCCTTCTGAATTTTTTTTTTTTTTTAAATACATCTTAACTCTTAGAAACCACATTAGTCCCATTCTTAGGTTACATGAGCCCTTAGGCTTTGTCAGCTTGCTGGACAGCAGGACGTGCTCAGCGTGCTCACTGTGTTGCTGCAGGGAGTCTGTCAAGTGGCTTCTCTTTCTTCCGTGTTTAATTTTAGACAGATTATTCAACTGAGGGGACTGGGCTGGGAGTGTGGCTCCGTGGTAGAGCACTTGCCTACCATTGTGAAGTCCTAGGTTTGATCCCCAGCACCGCCCACTGAATGCTAGTAAACACACCAGAGTGGACAGGGCCGGCCACCCATCCTGGGTCGAAGCAGGTGGCAGGGGAGGTGGGAGCTTTAAGTGTGGCCCTCGGGGAGGAAGGAAATGCAACTCCAAGGTGCCTCTGATTCCTTGTAGTTTACGCAACTACCGCCGCCAACGCCAAGGAGTCCTCCTACGCCTGCTACTACGACGAGAAGAGGAGCACCTACCTGGGTGACTGGTACAGTGTCAACTGGATGGAAGACTCGGACGTGGTGAGCCCTGGTGGGGGCCGGCAGCCCCTGGGTTGAACAGTCGGGCTCTGGCCTGGGAGGACCTTCACGTTCTCCCTTCTGCAGGAGGATCTGACCAAGGAGACCCTCCATAAGCAGTACCAGCTGGTGAAGTCCCACACCAACACCAGCCACGTCATGCAGTACGGAAACAAAGTGAGTGGGCCTCCCCGCTCCTCCGCGGGGGCTGGCCTCGTCTTCAGCCTACACTCAGGGCCCTTCAGTGGCCCCAAAACTGTGGGAGCCAACTGTGCGCCTCCTAGGCAGGGACTATCCATCTGCTTACATGGATATTCTCTCTCTCTCTCTCTGCAGTCCATCTCTGCCATGAAAGTGATGCAGTTTCAGGGCATGAAGCACAAAGCCAGTTCCCCTATCTCTCTGCCTCCAGTCACACGCCTTGACCTCACTCCCAGCCCGGAGGTAACCCTGGCCATCCTGAAAAGGAAACTGATGCAGACCAATGACGGGCAGGAGTCGCGGAGTCTCCTCAAGCAGATCCAGCAGCACCAGGATGTGAGTAGCACCCAGGGATCCTTTGCAGGCCCCGCTCCCAGCCCAGGTGGGTGGCTTAGGCCACCGAGGCCCCTGTCCCCACCTGTACCTAGCACGGCTCAGAGCCAGCTGAGAGACCTCAGGCCACCACCTCTGGCCACATAAGAGTGTGTGTGAAAGGGACCAACCTCTGTGCTCCAGGTGCAGCAGAGGAGGGGCGTCTTCTTTCCCTTCTAGGAAACTGACCTTGACCTCTTTGGTGGTCAGGTGCCAAGGGTTGGGTGCCTATTCCCCTGTCCTGCCAAGAAGCCAAGGCGTGGTGGCCCCCTTTTATACGTTGTTTCTTAGAGGCCAGTTCTGTCTTGCTGCTTATTGAGTTGTTAGCTAATCACATATGTGTAGTGCTTCTGCTCCTGTTGTCGCGATCCTCGTGGCCACAGCCTGAAGTGCTTCCCACAGCTCCTGAGCTCTCCTTGACTTCCCTGCATCTGCCTTAGTAGCTCCTCAGTTGGTCTGGAACTGGCAGGATTGTTTCCCACGTTCCAGCTGCGTGCTCTCTGGCATGCTGGGCAGAGGGTTGCCTGTCCCTCCAGAGAGCCTGCTGCCTGTTCCGCTCGTCCCTTTCTGCAGCCCAGCAAGGACCGATGCTCTGGGACAGGGCCTGGATCTTCTGGGTGATAGCTTCCCTTCTGGTATCAGGAGTAACACTTCCCCGAAAGTGGAGGCCCCAGAAGGCGAGGTCACACAAGCCCCAAACACTGGCCCCCTTCAGGACGCCTGAGCTGGCATCGTGTTTTACCCACGGGGCTGGAGCGGTGTGGAGAGGGGTCTGTAACTGCACCCAGCAGTGCTGAGCCAGACTCCACTGAAGGGCTGTGCGTCCCCCCAGGCCAGGCACATCATCCAGAAGACCGTGAACAAGATCGTGTCTCTGCTGACCACCTCCGAGGCTGTGGGGGAGAGGCTGCTGTCCGAGAGAGCCCCGCTCACGAAGCACAGCTGCTACCAGGAGGCCGTGACGCACTTCCGCACCCACTGCTTCAACTGGCACTCCTCCATGGTGAGCCTGGGCCACCGCAGCTGAGGCCCGGAAGCTAATTCACTTAGTGTGCTGGCTGTCACCTCGGGTTCATTGCCTTGAGGAAGGTTCCATCCTGGCTGAGGGCCCTCAGGCGGAGATGCCCAGTTCCCTGGCCACGAGTCTTGGCCCTGGTGCACCCGTGGTCCAGCGGGTGAGGGAGTCCCCAAGACGCAGGTGGCACTCCCTGTGTGTCTTTCAAGTGCCTACTTCTCACGCTGTTGCTGTCCCTGCCAAAAGCCCCGCCCCCTCAGCCACACGGGGTTCTCCCTGCTGGGCTCTTCTGACTCCTCCCTAAGATGCATGTTGTCACACCCTGGTCCTGGAGGAGCAGGAAAAGTGAAGTCTCTGCAGATGGAAAGGCCAGGAACCCCTGGCTGAGACGCCTATCTCTGTGACGGCAGAGGTGGCATCTCCCAAGCTACAAGTCCCTTGCACGGTGATGGTGATGCGTGATTCTTCTGTTTTCTTCTAGTATGAGTCTGCTTTGAGGCATTTGTACGTGCTGGCCAACCTTTGTGAAAAGGCTTATCCCATCGACAGGTAATGCCCGCCATGGTGACATTCTGAGAGTGCCAGGGAGCACACTGCTGTCTGTCTCTGCAAGTGTCCAGTTTGCTTCTGCCGCCTGATGCCTGGTTTCCCCCCGCTGCCTGGCTTCACCCGCTGCCTGGCTTCCTTGTGGGGACTTGGCCAGTGCAGACCAGAGCAGCTGCCTTCTTGGCGGGTGGCTGGGAGTCTGTCTTGAAGGACTCCTGCTCGCGTGGGACTGTCGGGCTGGCTCAGTGAATGCCTTTCCTGTCTCTTACAGCATAAAACTGGCCATGGACAAGGTGTGCCTTGGTTACTACTGAGGCGCTGCTCTCGGGATGCTGCTCCCATGTGAACACTGGACTGACCAGAGACTGAAGAGTGGAGCTGGAAGGGGAGCCGCTGCTGGGCCCGGGGGTGCTGGTGGGCCACTCTGGGCCTCTCCCCAGGCCTTCCTGTCACAAGACCGCCCGCACCTTTATTCCCTGTCCTCTGCAAGGACAGCCATGAAACTGAAGGAACTGCACACTGACTGGTGGGACTGTGTCGAGAAAGGGACGTTTGCTCTCCAGGAGGTTTTTTGGGGTTTTACTCATTAGTTTTCAGGAGCAAGCAGTTCCCCGGGGCTGCCAGAGCCTGTGAAAGGATCTTTGTTCTGAGAAAGTTGAAGCTGGAACCTCGTTAAGTCTTCAGGACGATTTGATTGCAGAGGGAAGTGAGCCCCGAATGGAAAATTATTTTTAGGAAAAAAAAATTATAATTTTTGATTGCTTTTGTATTTTATTCTGTAACATTGGATGAGTCTTAAAAAATAAAGATTTATAACTGAAGCTGAGTATGAATTCCTGGCCATGACTTTGAGGTCCATGCTCCTGGCCCTCCTGGTGGGGCCCTGTCCCCCCCCCCCCTGCTATTTCTGCTCCTGCAGGCCTGGGACTTCTGGCTCCTGTGCCTTCGCTCCTTCCTGTTCCTCCTGCCTGGTGCTTTTCCCTTCATCGCCACAGACCCTTGAACTGCATCTCAAGTGCCCAAGTGCCAGTCCTTGAACTTCCCTCCCTCCCTGCCTCCCCTCTCTTTACAAGTACCATCTCCTCCGGCCTCTGACAGCCACATCAGGGTCTGTCCTTGCACCAGCTGCAGGGTAGGGAGGGGACCTCCCAGTGGGGAGCATGACCTCCTTCAGGGCAGAGGCCGCTGGCTCCTGTTTCTCCTGACCCTGTGCAGGGATGAGGGTCACCATGTCTAGTCTACACGGTAGAATCCCACAGAGCAGCAGAAATGGTGGGGTGGGCTCTGAGGTTTAACAAGTGACCAAATACCCTCTGCACTTGTTGCCAATGCTCAACAGCAAACCTGAGGGTTGGCGGGCTTTTAAAGAGATACAGCGCTAAGAGTAAGACGTGGGTCCCTCTGTCTTCCAGAACTGCCCACTGCCACCAGGGCCCTAGTCCTCTCTTTTTATTTGTTTCCCTATGGAATGAAAACATGCTTAACCACTTAATAAAAGCAGCCCTATTTCACTTCTCAGATAACAACTTCCCAAGTCACAAGACCTTGGACTTTCTCCTCCTGTGGTTCCCAGGCTCTCAGGGAAAAGGGCCTTCCCCCCTGTGTTAAGCCATTTCTGTTAGATTTCTGTCTATGGACAAAAATTATTTTACTATAACTAAATGCTTTAGCTGAGTAACTTAGAAACAACAGGAATTTCCTTCTTACGGCTGAGAGTTCCAAATCAAGGCCCAGGCCCGTGCGTGGGGAGACTCATTTTCCATTTGGATTCTAACTCAATACTTTTTGCTCAAATTATTCCAATTTTGGTCTTCAGGCACTCTTTCAGTTGGCTACTTTGTCCTTTAAACATGCCACGCCCCATCTATACAGGCCTCTCGTCTCGATTCTGTTTGAGGACTTCCTTACCTTCTGTGGCAACAAGATGTTCTAGGCTTATCTTGTCTATTTTCTGATTCCAGGCTTAGCATCAGCCTTTTCTCCAAAGAGCCCTGGTTCTTCTTACTGGAAACCTTTCCAGAAACTAAGACCTGGGTATTAGATGTGCATGTTGCTCCTGGGGTGGGTGTCACCTGGAGGCTGGCTGAGCAGGAAGCATGTGTGCATCCCTGAGTGTCCATGGTGACTGTGGGCCTATATTAGCTGCACATGGTTTCTACTGATGTCTCCAACTCCATCACCACGTGGACCGCTCTAGCCACCTGCCCTTTCTTATCTATGAACTCCCACTCTGCCAGGGAAGCGTGCCCTCTCCATGTGCCACCCATTTACCTGTCTGATTTGAGTGCACACGTGTAGCAGTGTCAGAATGGCCCCCTCCTGGGGAACAGCCTTTTCAACTAGGGCACAGCGCTTATGTGCAATCTCCTGCTGAGTAATGGCCTCTTCTCCTTCAGGTTCACTTCCAAAATTCCTCAGGTCAGCCTCTTCCCCTGTACTATAGTCAGATGTCAGGAGATGCTCTGGAAATACATGCCCTTAAGTCCTCAGCAAGAGATACTGAACAGTTATTGCACCCCGCAATAACTTGGGCTTTACCTCTGCTCGGATAATGAGGCCTCACCCAGTGGGGCTGAGTTTCACTCACCTGTTCCTTTGTAATCTACCCCTTCACCCTTTTGGGGATAGAATGTCCCATGGAACCTCCTCTTGTGTGTCCCCTATATAAGAATAAAGAATTCCAGAGGCTCTCTCTCTTTCCACAGACCCCTAAGTTCAGAGAGACGACCCTGGATATGTGAAAAGGTACTTCTGTGTGTTTGGGTGCTGTCTTTGACGTTTTCTTAAGTTATTGGAAGAGTCAGATTTTGTGAGCCCAGCATAGGTCACCAGCTAGGATAGATGGCGATAGTCAGATTTATTCGTAGCAGACTACAGTCCATTCTGGGGTCTCCTGACCACCCGAAGTGATATTTTGAGATTGTATACATTAAAATTCACTCCTGGTGGCTGTAAACTTCTGTTGTGATAAAGGCACTATGACAGGTTCCCACCATGACATTTTCATACAGAACAGTTTCACTGCCCTGAAAGTCCCTGTGTTTCAGCCACTCCTCCTTCCTTTCCCCCACCCCATGGGCAACTACTGATCTTACTGCTTATACTTCTGCCCTTTCCAGAATGTCATGGAATTGGGATTGTATGATCTTTTCAAATGGGCTTCTTTCATTAGCAACATGCGTGTAGGTTTCGTCCCCGTCTTCTTCATGGCTGGTTGCTCTTCCCATCGCGGAGTCCTATGGGTGGATAGACCCTAATTTGCTAATTCGCCTGTTGGAGGTAGCTTGGTTGTTTCCAGTGGCTATAAATGAAACTGCTAGAAACATTCAAGTGTAGGTCTTTGTGTGAGCTTAGCTTGTAAATTAAGTTGTGTTGATTATAGGAACATAATTTAGGATCAGTGATAAGGCCATTTAGCTTTGCAGACACGGAACGTCTTCGGGAGCGCCTGCCTTGTTCTGTGCTCGCCCAGACACCACAGGGCCTTTTCTTGCTTCACCTTCTCACCAGCATTTGGCGGTTTGGATTTTAGCCTTTTTAAATCTATTTTTATTTCTTTTTGCGGTGCTGGGGGATTGAACCCAGGGCTTTGTGTGTGTGTGCCTGTATGGCAAGCACTCGGCCAACTGAGCTATCTCCCCAGCCCTGGATTTTAGCCATTTTGATAGGTGTGCGGCTATCACTTGAATTGTGAGTGTCCCCATGTGCCCACGAGTTAGAGGCTTGGTCCCCAGGGGCCCTCTCAGGAGGTGGTGGATTTAAGAGGTGAGGCCTACGGGGATCTGAGGTCACTGTGGGGGGCACGCCCTTGAAGGGGACAATGGAACCCTTCATCTTTCTCTCTCTTCCACCTGGCCACAGAGCTCCCCGGCTTCCTCCACCACACTCTTGCCACGGCCTTCTGTGCCCATCAGTCAATGAACTGGAGCCTCCCAAACTGTGAGCAAAGTAAACGTTTCTTCTTCTGAGTTGATTGTCTCGGGCACTGGTTACAGTGGTGCAGAGCTAGCTAACACATCTGTCCTCTCACTTCTGAGTTCTTCGAGTCCTGGCTTGGGTAATCCTTTCAAGTCTGGTACTTTTTTTTTTCATGTTTATCAGTTCTTTTTGAAACAGTGCATTACATTTTCTAAAGCTGTTCTGGGACACATTTTTCTTGTGTGTTTTCATCGTCCCCAGGAGAACCGTTACCCCATTTCAGCTCTGAGGAGTAATTAAGTCAGCTGATGTGGCTGCGGCCTAGGTCCCCAGGCCAGCTGGGGGGCAGGAAGTGGCCTGGGTGCTCACCACAAGGCAGGCCAGGACCTCCCAAGGGCAGAACTCCTTCCCTCTGTGGTCCTTGGGAGGGACTGAGGCCATGCCCGGCTCAGCCTGGGGGGGACTGGTGGCCCCCAAGTCTGTGCCTCCACCACTGCTCAGTGACCTGCATGTACCTCCCGCTCCACAACACACAGAGCTGGCGTCCCCTGCTTCTTCTTAAGCTTGCAGCTATGTCCAGCCTCAGCGGAGGCCAGGCCCTTCACCACAGCAGCCTGTTGGGAACTGCAGTTCCTAGGACCTGTCCTCTCCCACCCGCCTTCCAGTCACCCACCACGTTCAGCTGCTTTTACATCCAGCTTTTCCCAACAGTAGCTCTTCCTCTCAGACCTCCCCTCCTCCCATCTGGGTTGTCACAGTGGGACAGCAGAACCTCCCCCTCCAGCTGGCCCGTGCACTCCGGTTCCACTTGGGTGGAGAATCTCCAGTTTTGCCTCATCTCCATTCACATTCAAGCCATCTTGAAAAGGTCTCTTCCCCTAACAGAAGCTTCTTATCCATTTTTTTTTTCTATGAGCTTTTCCCTTGTCTTCCCTCTTCCTTGTCCAGAACTGTCAAGAGGCTGAGGTTTGACCCCACTTCAGGCTGCCACGGCCTGTCACCGGTTGGCAGGAGCCGGCACACACGAGACTCCTGGGTCAGAGACAAAGGACTTATTCACCGCAGGGCAGGTGGCAAGGACTTCAAGTTTGCTGCCGCTTCTCTTCTGTCGTGTGCCCTGAGTGTGCTGCCGAGCTGGGCCCAGGGGAATGCCAAGCACACAGTGGATACGCAGCACCCTGGGAACCTCAACTTAGGAAGATCCATCTTTTCAAGAAAATGACTAGAAAACTTGACAGACGTTTGCCCTGGAGGGAAACGATATCCTCCAAGGTGAGAGAATGGGGGGGGGGGATCTACCCTTTTCCAAAAGGAAGAAATGATCTGTCTCTTCCAAGGTTACTCAAACTTTCTTAAAAAAGGGAGTCTGGGGGATGGGGTTGTAGTTCAGTGGAGAGCGCTTGCCTGGAACATGTGAGTGTTCTGGATTTGATCCATGGTACCACATTAAAAAATAAATAAATAAAATAAAGCTATTGTGTCCATTTGTAACTAAAAGAGAGAGAGAGAGAGAGAGTGTGTGTCTGGCTGGGCCTGGAGGTACATACTTGTAATCCCCAGTGGATCCAGAGGCTGATGCAGGAGGATCACAAGTTCACAGCCAGCCTCAGCAACTTGACAAGGCCCTAAGCAACTTAGGAAGACCCTGTCTCAAAATTGAAAAATAAAGAAAAGGGCTGGGATGTGGCTCAGTGGTTAAGTGCCCCTGGGTTCAATCCCTAATACCAAAAACAAAAATGAGAGAGGGGGGAGAGAGAGAGAGAGAGTGTGTGTGTAAAGTCATCAAGGACTCTGCCCCAGGACGCAGAAATGCAAGAGCTTCACGGAGAGTGGGCTCCCA